AAAGAAAAAATCTGAAGGAGATAAGAAAACAAATTATAAGGTTATCTACAAAAAGGATTGTTCTATGCAGAAGGACTATCAAGTAGAAAGACCTTGAGGCAAGAACAATGATGTTTTCAGGGGAATTAGTGTAGCTTAATCAGTGAGCGAGGGAGAGTAGTAGGAGATCCAAGTCAGTTAGAGGCTCACAGATCTTACCTTCTCAGACATTCCAAGAACTTAAAATTAAGACTTTTACTGAGACAGGAAACCATAAGAGCACCAAGCAGAGAAATGATATAATCTGCTTATATTGTAACAATACAATGTTGCTATATAGCTTCTGTTGCCATGTTGGTAACAGACTACTGGGAGGCAAGGAAAGAAGCAGTGATATTGATACAATCCAACAGCAAGAATGGTTGATTCAGTTCTAAATAAATATTGAAACTTAATGAAAAGGATTTGCTGACAGACTGAATTCAGGATGGATAAGAAAAGATGATTTCAAGGCTTCTGACTAGAAAGTAAGGAATATTAATTATCTAAGATCAAAGATTACAAGAAAAGGAGTCTTAAGGTAAAAACAAAAGTACAATTTTGGAGAAAAGTTCTAGATGATTATTGTACATCCAATTAAGGGATGAAAGTGTGTAGTCTTGGAAAGAAAGTCCCACCAGGAGATAAAAACCAGGAAGCCATTTGCAAAGAGAAAAACATTGAAATTCATGAGACCATTGAGGCAATAAATACAAATGAAAAGAGGTCCAAGAACTGATCTTTTGTGGCCAGTTAACATTTAATGGTTAGCAAGATAAGGAGAAATGAATAAAGAAGACTGAGAAGAAATGGGCAGTAAAAATGAACAAAATCCAGGAAAATACAGCCTGTCAAATCAAAGTAAAAACAATTTTTCCAAGGAGGAGAGAATAAGTACATTCAAATTGTTAGATGCTTTAGAAATATGGCTGGTTTAAAATATGAAAGCCTATGGGATCACCTGCACATTCAAACTCACATCTGTTCTAACAGTTTAAAAGTACATACAGTTACACATCATTTAACGATGGGGCTACATTCTGAGAAATATAATATTAGGCAATTTCAACCTATATGAACACTGTAGAGCATGCTTAATACCAAGACAGCTACACTGTCACTAGGGGATACAATCTTATGGGACTACAAAGGAATACGTGGTCCAAGGATGACTAAAACATCACACAGCACATGACTATATGTATCTACATATCTATAATATAATATATATACACATTAAACACAAAATTATCTACAATGAGTATGTTTCTTGTTCTTCAGTTCCTCACATTAGAAATAGTCCAGTAAAATAAAATCACATTCAGAATCAAATTAGCACACACAAAAAAAATTAATCAAAGTACAAGTAATAAGATAACAGTATATTTCAACAAAGAAAGACTCTCTAGGTCCCAGAAATGGAAACAAACACACAGAAAACACATCTGGAATACCTAGGAAAAAAATTATTAAAAATTCCTACAAGATTCTCATGTGTAAAGCTTAGTTACTCAACAGAATTATTTTTATCTCAAGCCAAGATAAAAGTTATCTAGTATTTCCTCTATGATGTCACAGAGAAAAGGTAAAGATACAGGTTATATAACTATAAAATTTTAAAAATTCACTCAAAAGCACATATTTTATCTTTTCAGATTAATATATGGTAAAGATTGAACTTTACCTCAAATTCATGGTGGTTCCAGGATATCACATTAGCACTACCAAGCTCTCTATCAATATTAAATGTTCTCATTTCAGATTCAAGAGTATCTTTCAGTTCTTCTCGTGTTTTGAAATTCCAAATAAGGTTTGACCTGGCGTGGTCTTGACTAAACCTAGACATACATATAATCAGAAAATAAAAAGAAGCAATAAACATTAAAAAAAAAAAACTCACCATAAATAGCCCTTACTACATCTTATAATAAGCAAGAAAACTGTAGAATTATTTAGCAAGAATAAAGAAAATAAAAATCTGTGTAAAGGAAGTATGGTAAAATGCTAATAGTAGAATAAATACCATTATAAATACACAGGCAGTCACTGTAAAAGTCTTTCACCTTTTCCCATTTTTGAAAGTTTCATAATAAAATATTAAGAAAAAATAAACCTAAACTATAAAACAAATCCATGTAAATTTAAAAAAATGAACTGACATTTCAATTTCAATCTTTTGCTAATATAATTTTTTTGTTCTTTTTAGATACACATGACAGTAGTTTTGAGTTAGAAAACAATTCAAATCTTCAGACATCAAATTTCAGGTTGGGCAAAAAAATTTTGACCCTTTTGGAGTGAAGTATATGGAATGAACAATATCCTATATTTGGAACTTATAGACTACTCGATATAATACCATAAAACTGCCAAGTTATGAATGGACATTTTCAAAATATCTTCCTTATATTTTTGGAATAAAATGGATTGGGGATGTAGCTCAGAGATACAGCACTTGCTAGCAAGTTCGAGGTCATGGGTTCAATTCTTAGTACAAAAACAACAACAACAGGTGAAATTACAGAACAACTTATTATAATAAAGTTGGACAAAAATATGAACTGTGATGGACACATTCCACTTCTACTTACTATCAGTTTGCAATCCTTCTAGAAAGTCTCATTTTAATGACTTTCAAGAAAGTTCTAGGGGTACAACACAACTGAGGGATGCCTGAGAAAGAAATACAAAGGATATACTTTAAGGATATACTATACTTGTACTATATACTTTAAATGTAGTATGGAAAGATTTTAGGCACTATTTCCTTTACTAGCCAAGGTACAATCAATATTTCAGCTTCCAGAATGAGTACAAGTGGGTCACTTTTTTAAGAAAATGTTTAAATCATGTCTTTCTGTATTTATGTTAGGTGTTAGGGATAGGGATGGAAATGGGGAGTGGAAGGGGGTTACCTTGTTTGAAAGGCTAGACAAATATGAAGTCAACTAACTTGCATATTTATTTGTCAAAAGTCTCATTGTTTTCATTATCTAACTCTTCTCTCCCTCTCCCCAGTATTGGGGAATGAACTCAGTGGAGCTCTACCACTGAGTCATAGCCCCAGTTCTTTCTATTTTTTTGAGACAGGGTCTCACTAAGTTTCTGATGCTGGCCTTGAACTTGTGATCCTCCTACCTGAAGCTCCAGAGTAGCTGGAATTACTGTCTTGCATCACCATGTGTGGTCATCTATCCCCTTTAAGACTCCATTTCCAACAAGGCTTAAAGTAAGTATGCAATCATTTCTAAGCCATAATATAAGTGTCACAAGTCATCATCTCCAAGCTTTAACAAAAACTTTAAAGTAATTTTAGCTCTTCAGACTATCATCACTCTATGTACAAAGCCTAATTTTAAAGAAGCGACTCTAATCAAATCAATCTTAAAAGTTACACATCTTGAGCTTGACAGCATAAAAATACCTGTGGCAAAAAGCAGTTTCCAGGGGCTGGGGTTGTGGCTCAGTGGTAGAGCA